AAAATTCGGAAACCTCTGCTGGAAATTCCTACGTTCTCAGGCAATTTCCGAGAATTTAATAGCTTCTGGACCGTCTTCGAATCTCTCATCCACACTGACGAGGAACTATCGGATACAGACAAATTCCTGTTTCTAAAACAAGCGTTAAAGGGAAAAGCAGCAACCACTCTCAGCTGCATTCCTGTCATTGGAGAAAAGTATGAAACAGCGATAGATATCCTGAAAAAACATTTCGATCGCTCTGCCAACATGGCAGACATACTCATAAACGAGATCGAAAAACTTCCGAGGGCGTCAGACAACCCGAAAAGTTGCCGAGAAACCTTTGAAGCAATCAATTCGAGAATCATTCATCTTGAACAAACGGGAGCAAAGATGAACGCAGACAGACTTTGGCGTCGAGTGATCTTCTCCAAATTTCCCGAATCCATCTGTACAACCGCCATCCAAAAAGAAGCAATACAAGATGATTCCTTCGATGTTAGTGAAATCCTGGAAGCTATCGACAGCATAATTTCACTACGTGAAACGACTTCGCTCACAACTGAGACCCTTTTCCCAACCAGCCATCGCCAGGACACTCATCAAAATGGAAGGAACAACAGAGCAAGATGGGAAGAGGAAAGACAGTTCTCGAAACCAAGACGCTTGTGCTTATGTGGACAACCACATTCCCCTTACACCTGTCAGAAATATACCACACCGGAAGCTCGACGCCTCGAAGCGAGAAATCAAAGGGTGTGCTGGAGGTGTTTTGCTAAGAATCACAATTCCAAAGACTGCCCGAATACTGGAGTGTGCCCTAAATGCAAAGACTCGCACCATGGATCTCTTTGCCTCACCAACCTATTACAGTACTACTGGACTCAGGAGCGCAAAGAAGTTTCATCAAGTCAAACCTTAGCGAGACATATAAGCTTCCGATCGTCCGAACAACGTCATTTACTACATCTGGAATGGGCGAACAACAAGAGCAATTCAACTCATCTGAAGTACAAATCACCTTGAAAAGTCTCTACAGCTCCGAAAAGCTCAAGAATTTGTCATTGCACACTAAGCAAAGGCTGATTATCAACATGCAGACGGCAAGTCTCACAGAAGCAGACTTGCGTTTCATCTATAACAAGAAACTGATAATCGCTCAAGATACGCTCTCCTCGAAAAGCGTCTCGCCCGATCTGATCATAGGACAGGACCTCCTACACCTTGTTACTCTCCACAACGACAGAGTGCATAAGCTTCCTTCGGGCCTCATTCTGACTCCTTCCATCTTTGGATACGTTATATCAGGGATGAGCGCCACTACCACTACATCAAGTTTTGTTGGCACATCCGGCTGCATATCATCGCTGAAGGGAACCCTCAGGAACAACCGCCCAACATTTCCACAACACAACGAGAGACTGAAGAAACCCAAAACGTACTCTTATCGCAACAGTGCGAACACACGAATGGACAACAAGCCGTTATCGGCGAAGCAGAATGAAGGAACAATCCAAAGAAGAACGATTCCGTTGCAAACAAAACTACAACCATGTTCTTCATCCAAAAGCCTACAATCCACCTTTACAAGGTCAACAGTCAATGCTTCCATCCTCGCTGAAGCTCGAGCAGACAGACAACGTTGGTTGGCCACAATACGTTCCACGACGAACTCCAATGTCCGCCCCCGATATGGGATAGAATGGCTACCGCAGCGGTTCACAAACAATGAAGCCAAGATAAGGATGACGAACACACCGGAGAGAAGACATCATGAGTACATACATCGTGTAAGAACGCCGTCTATCAAGGATATGGTCGTCAACGAAGCAACTACCGATTCAAAGTGGAAGAGGAGGAAATGGCGAGGACGACAAGCAGCGCCAAACCGCCCACCAGCTCCAGCAATCACTTCAGATGCTTTTATAAATTTACGTTAATATTCGTACTCTTGTGTGTATGTTCAAGTTACTTGCAAATCCTCCTTCATAGCTCATTTTTCTGTATACGTAGGTATTAACTTATTCGCTAGTCAACTTCACATGTATCTGCCACTCTAATTAGGATCTTACCAGATCTCACTTTCCTCTCGCTCGCCCGGAGTGTTGATGATTTCTGTATCATCAACCATTGATGAACTCTATATTCTAGATAGCCTACGGAATACCCGTAGGCTAAATTGTGAGCTACTCACTCTTGAGTATCTAATCACTCAAGAGTGAGTGGTACCCGTGCGCCAGGAGTGTAGCCAATCGGCGGCACCTCCTTTCGAGCACCAACTCGTGTACATTGTACCTTTTACTCGGTTCAGCTCCGCCTTCCTTCCTATATAAGGAGCCTCCAAATGTATTAGACGTTGCTCCCCGGTCCACACCGGGACACCTCACTCTTCTTCACGACTAATCTACGCCCGTGCGAATAAATCTATATTCCACAACCTCGTCTACCCCAAATCACTTGGTACCCACCAAATTCGCTTCCAATCGCGGTGCCGAATGCATCAAAGCAATTCCGTATGATTAGTTCAAAGTATATTCAGTATCTTCGGCATGTACTATCGTTGTATGAGTCCTTGGTGGAACGCTACAAACTGTAACGCTACTTTTTGTAGCTCCCGTGAAGCAGGATGAATAATCAGTCACGTACAGAAAAGAAACAACTTGATAATTGCGTTATGTGGTTGTCATTCGCATTGTCTCATAGAAGATGAAAGGATACAGGCAGTCAATCTTTGAGCCATGCCGGTTCTGTTGGTATCGCCAGAATCAGATGTTAGCTCCACAGGTGGATGACAGGCAAAGATAATATGTGCAAGGCTATAAGTTCTTAAATTTGTGAAATAACAGGAAGTGCCATCGGTAAAAAAACGTTTCACTATGAGGATGTGAAAAATGGGCAAATTTACAAACTAAAGGCAAAGAAATTTTGTTAGCGGTGGCTGCAGTTTATCATCATAGAAACAGCACTAAACATTTCCTTATAACCATCATCATAAATTTATACAATCACGTATGTCATTGCCCACAATGTTAGTCCCTTATCATCTTAGGTTTCTAGCCATATCCCTTCAAGTGAGTGTTTTGCTGCGTTTCAAACAAAGACTCCTTGCTTGTGAACACAAAGACATCAAGTCAGAGCTTTACCATGAACGTAGGCGGAAATAGCCATACTGCTCACAAGGGAATGGTCAGAAGTCGAAGTGACCAATTCACACAAGCTGCATACCGTTAAATGCAGCATAAAACGCTGATTTCAAATCTGTCTTCCTTCCTAATCTGCAGAGCGCTTTTGTGGACGAAATTATAAGCCGTTGAATGACATTATTTTGCTAAGAAATTGTGCGTGTAAAGTGCAGAATTGACCATACAAGGCCATTCTCGGCTCAGTGTTGGATCAAAGCATGCAACTAGGTCACCTCATATGACCCGTACTTAGAAGTGAGCTGAAAGAGCAATAATGTGCTTAATTTTGCAACTTTTGTATACGATTTTCGCGCAGTAAAGCTGGTCATAACTTCGCCTACAAAGGCGCTCTGCAGATATGGAAGACAAATTTGAAATCAGCGTTTAATGCTGCATCGAATGGTATGCCGCTTGTATGGATTGGCCACTTCGACTTCTGACCATTCCCTTGTCAGAATGATCGATGGAATTTCTTCCGCAGTAGCCGTGTCGCAACTTCGAAGAAAGATGAGAAAAGACTCCGAGTCGTTCGTTTGCGGGAAGGGTCTAAAGTGGTACCTGAAAATCTTCATTTATGGCAAATTACAACGGTAAGTGCAAAGCTGATTTCTTCGAGAAAAAATTGGGCAGAATCGTCCGCGTTATAGTGTCGGAAAACCTCAAATTTTGGCACTTGTAAACAGCAGAAATGTTCATTTATAACCTTTCCCGACGAACGCTGTGTTTTCTTCCTCATTTTCTGGTGGTTTGACTGGGTAAGATGTAGTACCTAAAAACTTTAAAGTTTCCCAATTTTCAACAACGAGTTCAACTATGTACAACCTTTTTCGACATTTGTTGTGTTCCATTTCTCCTTTATTGATGCTTTGGTTGGATACGTTGTATCTAGAAATACTCAATTCACTCTTCCAGTGGAAGTTAAAACTCTCTACGACCTTTTCCAACGATCGTCGTGTCCATTCTCCATCTACTGATGATATGTTTGGATGAGATGTAGCATCTGCAAACTAAGGTTTATTCTTCAACAGTAAGTATACCTCTGTGCAACCTCCCCCAGCAATCGTTGTGCTCCATTCTTCATCTATTAATGTTGTGGTTGGGTAAGTTCCAGTATCTAATATTTCGACAAATGGTGATTTTCAACAGCTAGTTTAACTCTTTACAATCCTTTTTGACAAACGTCGTGCTCCCTTTCTCAGTTACTGATGGTTTGTCTGAGTAAAATGTTGTACCTAAAAACTTCACATACCAATTTTCAACACCAAGTTCAACTTTGACACCCTTCTTCAATATCCGTTGTGTTCCATTGCTCATCTACTAATGTTTTGTTTGGGTATGATGTTACATCTAAATTTCCAAGTTACTCTTCCTAAGGGGGAGGGGGGGGGGTATAACTATTTGCAACCTTCTCCGACGATCGTTGTGTTCCATTCCTCCGCTACTGATGTCGTGGGTGGGCGAGTTCTAGTATCTGAATATCTTTACATTTCGGTAATCTAAAAGCAATCGCAACCATTCACAACCTTCTTCAAAAATCGTTTTTTTCCATTGTTCATATATTAGCAGTGTGATTATATGTTGTAGTATCTGGAAACCTCCATATTTTGGTGATTTTCAACTGTAAATACGGTCTAGTAAAGAGGTAAGAAAAGAAGGTATGATTTACTTTCATTCTCCCATGAGGTTCCAAGTGGCGAAAGCGAAAGTTAAGATCATCCTGTTCGTGGAGAGAGTGCCTGTCAAACACAATGCTCCTGTGGATGATGGGAAGTGTAGGGATCAAACGGCGGGAGTCCAGGATTCTTCTGGTACTTTGGCCGCTGTGGTCCAGTAAATGTGGGAAAGTAGGGTCCACTGTGTTTGTAATCTTTTGGAGCATGTGTCAAAGGATATGTTGAAAAAGGGATCCATGACATGTATGATCTTTGACCCTTGCGGTCCCAAAATGGGAGAGTGGGCTCATGATTTTGGTGGTATTTCGCGTGGTGGAGATTGAGGTCAGCTTCTGACTTGCAGCTGCTAAAAAGAACAGACTTTGCGTGAGCCTAAAGCAAGTATTCAAGCCAGGAAAATTTGAAGATGCTTTCACCTACGGTAGCAGCTGATAGGAATAAAGTACGCAGCTGCATCTGGTTCCTTATTCGGAGAGTTTCGACCCCAGCTCCCTTACATGCGGTTACAGCAATTCTGTCGAATTTCTTGGTGGAGGCGCATGCAATGGGGTCATTTTATGAGCTTACACTTTTTATAGTCTTCGCGATCATCTTCAAAGCTAAAGCGTGATGCCGGTGGCTGAGACTCGATTTGCAATGTTAAACTGCTGTTATTGCCTTAGTTTACGGTCTTGAAGGCAGCGTCCAGGCAAGATCCATCCACCCAGATTATCACATAGTTGTAAAGAGGGGCCCATGAGTATCCGATCTGCGTTGGTCCAATCCTTTGACGTGCCCCATAAAAGGAGATACGGGCCTGTGATACTTATCACAAGCCGCCCCTACGTATCACAAACCACCCCTGAGGACGAGTGCTTACGCAGGGTGCGGTTGCATTGCAGTTGCATTGCAGTTGCACTGCACACTGCAATGCAACTGCATCCGTGCAGTTGCAGCTCCTCCCGCTGGCATGACGATGGGGACGAGCAATTCGAAACTCGTCCACCTTTTGAAGAGAGGGCCCCCCAGAACCCGGTTTTTTGGGAGTTTTACACAATTTCGACTTTACAGCTGTAATCAGAGCCACGGAAAGGCCCCAGAATGGCAGAAACATGAGGGGCAGAATTTTGCCCGGATGCTGCCTTTAAGTGCAAAGATGGGAATAGAATATGCCCATTATCCCAAATTACGTCGTGTTATTGCTATTAAGATCGCCTGGCGATTACGTGAATTCGTATAGGCCGTCCGCGCAGGGCGCGGAGAGTGCGCAAGGTGTGTATTGCGCGTCACTCCTCTTTCCTCGTGCACTCTCGCCGCCTGTTTTTCTCTGCGCTTCTTCCAGTCGTGAACTGCCTACAATCTACGCAACAGCGTTGCTCTCCGCGCGCAGCGCGGACGACCTATACATTGATGTTTGTGCAAGGAAGTAACAGTGTGAACAAGGAATAGCTAATTGACTGCACTGTGTTTGGATATTTCTGTTACTGAGAAACAAATTAGAGGTTTAGCAATGAAGCAGCGATCGGCGCGAACTCTTGCGATTGAATTTATGTCCCAAATCGAGGCGCCGACACTGAAACGCTCACTGCTGTATTTTAGATGCACAAATGATTGCTGCATCGTATGTTCTATGCAAGCTTTGTTGCCATATCCTCAATGAGCAGTGCTGAGCATCAAATTCATCAGAGAGCCAATGATGAATGATTGGCTACTTCAACGTAGAGATTCACCTGCGAATGAATAAGCAAAATTAAATGATACCGTCAATCTAGCACCATCTCGATTCATGACTTACTGTGCCATGAAAACTGTTATGATAAGTCAGATGTGCAAGACAGCTGTTCGAGTATCATCTAATTGTAAAACAGGCTTGAATTCTATTGATATGGCAGAGTATTTCGTGAAAAAGCGACTACATGGGCGAAAATCCGGAACAACAGCAGCTGCAAACGCTACTCATCTGACCAGAAAGACGATAAAAATATCGTCCTATATGCCGTTGATCTTCTACGAATTTAGCAGCGCAATCCGCTGCTGCCTGAGGCCTAAGGCACACCTCTCGTGATTTCGCGAGATCGCCACATCCTCACAACTTGGCGATTTGCAAGATGTCTAGAGATTGAACATGCGAGGCTCTCAGATGCATGGGTGCGTAGACTCCGTAATTGTAACAAACACAGTAAGTCTGGCCCAAGCAAAGTGCGTTTACGACCAGCTATGGAGAGTCGTTGCAGTGCCAAATCGGGCGGCGCCTAAAATCGCGTGAGGTATGCTTTAGGTCTGAAGCAAGCTGATTTGCAAAACGATGTCAAAATCGTCGACATACCGCCTGCCAGTCTCAAAAAGCACATACTACGAAATCACGCTTACGATCGCATGTGCTTAACACCAAATTGCGTGATCTGGCCGTTTGACAAAGTCGCTGAGTGTATTTGCGGCATAGATTATCTCAAAAAGTGCTTGTCATGTAAAACTTTTCATTCGCGTCGCATGATTCACCATAATGGTGCAGCGTTCCAAATAGTGAAAAATTCTATCATTCGAGAATGACACCTTAGCACACAAAACTGTAGAGACGTTGTGGATAACCGCAAAGAGTCCAAAAAAGAATGCGACAGAGTGTATCACCATAACATAAAAGCTATCAGCTCATCACTCTTTTGTGAACTCGATTCTCAGCACATGTAAGAATTGAGCCTGATGCGGCGTACGCAGCGTACGCGACGTAGCTGCGAAGTCTGGCTCAATCTCAAAAAAAGCTGATAAGAAAATCCCAATCTCAAATCCCAATATCCCATCCCAACTTGTGGTGGCGAACTGGAATGAACCACGTAGTCTTGATGGAACTGATTCTAAATTTATTTCAGACATTTGAGGTTAGCTAGCGCAGTAGATCCGCCCACAAAGAGGGGGGGGGGGGGGGAGGCAGGGGAGGAACGCGAATAATTGGCTACGGCTGCGGCAGACCCGCTCTTGCCGCGGATTTCAGGACAATCGCGATGCTAAAAACAAGAAGGGAAAATTCCTACCGAATTCCGATTTACTTGCGATTTCATATGCATGCAACCAAATTAAGCGCGGCAAATTTCGCGATTTGAATTACGCTTATTTTTTGGCGTCGTTTGCGCTCTTCAGGCTGGATTTGATTGCTTGCTTCGCATTCTCCTATTATTGCGTCGGTATTCTGATGGTTTTTTTCAAATCGTATCTTGTTCAAATCTTCCCTACGATCATCTTTCGAAGTTACTGCTGTGTTTTTGTAATTAACTGTTGATTTTTTAGCACGACGCACAAGAGCTAAGCCACTCCACTGATTCACCGGATTCAATGAGTCAATAATCACTGCGCCAGGAGCTTCCACCCCGCTTTTGAAGAGCAAGCTAGCGTTCTCGTTGCGAACACATGAATTCATGCATCTTATCATCATCTTAATTTGAGCCTTTCGGCAATCCATTCAGAATTAGAACCAAGAACTTAGGAATTTTTGTTTTTTTTCCTCCAACAGTTCCCATCTTTTCCATCTTTTAGTATCATCTTGCCCTCTAAACAATCAGTCTTCGTAATTTCTAGCTAGTGTTTTTTCATCACAACAGTAATGCAACAAGCACTCCTTCCCTGCTCGCTTCTCCTTCATCATGGAAATTTCTCATGTTTTTTGAAGAAGAAATCGAATTTTAATTGCACTGGTCAAGATTACGCAATTATTCTGGTGACGTTAAGGTGATGATTGTACTTATGTGGCAAGAAAATCGAAGAAAGCTTTCTTTTGAGTTCTGCAAACTTCCAAAAAAGAGTGTAATTTCTTTTCATTGCATCAAATGGTCCATAGCAGCTCTGCAAGGCAACTGATTTGCAAGTCCCAACTTCTGGATATTTTTACCAAAAAGTGTCTGAAAAAGCGTGCTCTGAATCAACATATTCACAGTTCCTTGCTGCAAGCAATACTGACACTAAATTTGCTTTTGCTGATCTAAAAGACTTTCCGTGGCTACCGCTGACGGAATACTATTGCTTATTAGCGAAATTCTGATGGCGGCTTCAACAAAAGGGATGCTTGCGGCGTTTATCAAGCACAAACTGTGAATGGATAGTCCAGCTCAGCAAGCGTTTATGACGAAACAATTTGATGTCTTTGTCTTGCAAAAAAAACGTATCAACTTTTTGCAGGGTTAAACGTCCAAGCAATTAATGCCATCTCATTTCCCTAAAATTTTTAACTTAGCTACGATATATCTTCTGACAAAAATATTGGAACAATTATTTGGCACTCTTACTTCTTAGCTAACGATCCTACCCTAAGATTTTCAGCACTATGGTCACAAGTCACTTCTTATAACTTCCATTCGAAGAGGTGCATTAGTGACAGTTGTACTCGTACAGCTAGTAGCACGTGATAGGAAGGGAAACATCTGTTTTTTACAAAGGGAAAGGCCATAGATTGCCTGCAACGGTTGCGGAGGTTGCTGAGGTGAGGTTGCCGAGGTTGCAGGGGTTGCCGAGGTTGCTGGCGTTGCCGGTCGTTGTAGAACCTCATGGTAGCCCCCACGTTTCGCGCTCTCTCTAAGCTGTCTCTGACCCTGGCAACGCCGGCAACCTCGGCAACCCCAGCAACCTCGGCATACTCGGCAACCACAAAGGATGCTTCGATATTATCCAGGTTTTGTAATTGAATTTTGTCACTGGCTGGAAAACATGAAAGGTGAAGCTTTTAAATTGGGTTTTCTGCTTCCAACTTCATATCCGCAAACTTTCTGGACTTTAAAATTTTGAATGAAGAAGCAAGATGAAAATATAGAGCAGGACAAGAGCTTTCAGAATCATATATTAGGTTGTCCCGAAAGTTTTGTCGGTTTTTTCAAACCGCTATAAAACTATGCAAAATGAAGATCTGAGTGAGTTTCAACATGCATTCGATGCAGCTTTTTCTTCTCTTTCTTACGGCTACATTTTCTAGCAATAATCCTGTATGCTTTTCTTGATATTTGTTACAATTCTTCACCCGTCATATTTATCTGCCCAAAGTTAGGCTATTTTTCAAAAATTTCATTCCAATGTTCCGGAGGTGCTTAAGTATGGCACAAATAGAACAATTCTCGGACTACAAGGCATATATTTACATTCTCCTAAAATGCTGTCTTTAGCTTCAAAAAATTATTTCTTCGGAGGTCTCAATTTTTGGCAAAATCATGAAACACGCAACTGCAGCAAAAACATGAAGGCTCTTGATATTTTTGCGAATTGGAACTTGATTGCTAATAAACAATAACTATGCAACATAACCAAGTTAAATCTGCTTTGAAAAATTAGCTTTTTGGAATTTTCGGTAACTTTACGTGGTAGACGTAATCAAAAAACCGCGGTTTTTCTTAAATAAATAATTATAACGGACTTGATAAACGTGATCCATGTAATCTAAAGTAAACACAATGTAGCCAAAGATTTGCTCTACGTAACAGTTACTAGCGCTTTTCGGAAACAGAGTATAAAAATTTTTTGAATTCAGGAAAGTGTTGGCGTTAGTGGTGAACTGCTTAAAAAGCCATGGCGATAACATTGCAAAGACGGGGTAGATCAGAGAGCAAATATAGCTGTAAGAAAGAGGATAAAAATCTGAATTAAATGATAGCTAGATCGTCCATGAATTGGTGTTCTTTGGGTTTTAGTGAGCGATGAAAAAAAACCGACAAAACTTGCGGGACAACCTAATATAAACATCACCAAACACGCCCATATGTATGAAGTAAATCCACAAAGCGATTTACGAATGTAGGCTTGTCTCAGTGACGGTCTCAGAAGTTTTTTTTCTGGATGGGGGAGGTGGGAGGGCTCAATATTTTTCCAGGTGAGGGGCATGAAGTTAGTCACGCTCTACGGGGTCTTGAAATTCTTTCAAATTTTTGAATTTTCCATGGACTTCAAAACCGGTAACACAAGAATCTTTTCACTAGATAGCCTTGATACCAAAAATGATTTGGTAATGATGGCTTGTTTTCAGCGACTCTTCCAAAGATTGAAAAACTATTTCTTGAGTTTGACACTAATATGTGCCCTTATTTTTCTAGTTACGTTCACTGATATAAACTACCTCTCACCTCTTGTGTAAATATATAGGTCGCAAAAATGAGTTGCGCATATCAACCTTTTTCTCCAATTTTCAAATCATACGTTTCATTTTTACCAATTTCCACCTGATTTTCGAAGCATCTATTGAAGTTTTATTGAAAAGACCTGACAGATTTACAAACATTCGACAGGAAAGCTTAGACGGCCTTAGCCTTGACTCTACGGATCTTCTTGACGCGACGCTTGCGGTAGCCGCTACTGCTTGTTGTTTCTGGAGCGTATGACGGAGCCTGCGTTACTTCACTGTCATAGGTTGGAGTACGAGGAGGACATGGGCAGTAAGCAGCATCTTTTCCTGGATCTCCTGGTCCGCCGTGTTCGCCGTCGTGACCGTGCTCACCTGGTGATCCCTCATGTCCTGGTGCTCCGGCTGCTCCTTGTGGACCAGGTTTTCCAGGACCTCCTGGTGGTCCTTCAGGTCCAGATTGACCAGGCGCTCCCATTGGTCCAGCAGGTCCCGGCGCACCAGGCTTACCCTTGCCATGCTTTGCACCTTGTCCGGGTGCTCCAGGTTGACCTGGTTGACCAGGCTGTCCTGGAGCTCCTGCATCTCCCATCGCTCCAGGTCCACCGGAATGTCCACCATTTCCTTTGTGACCTTGTGTTCCTGGCTTTCCATCTGGTCCTACTGGTCCAGGAAGGCCATCACTTCCGGGTGGTCCTGGAGGGCCTGCCGGGCAAGTTATGCACTCACTTCCACCGCCGTATCCTCCAGTTTCGTCTCCTCCTATGTTCGAAATTCCTTCAAGCCCGGGATTCCCATTCTGCCCAGGTAGAGCGTTCTCTCCTGGCGTTCCAGGTTCACCAGGAGGTCCAGGAGGGCCTGGCGGGCATGTGTCTGGTCCTGGGGCGCAATTACATGATGCACTATCTCCATCAGAAGTATCGCCTCCGTCATAGGAAGCACTCTGCTTCTTCTTACGACGTATTTTCTTCACCTTCACAGCACGAGTATCTCGAACTTGGTGGTCTTTCATAGAAACTACCATCTGTTCCCAGGCATTATCAGCATGCAGCTGAAAACAGTACACTCATTGTGGAGATTTCTAGAAAATTTTGGAGGGGCTCACCTTAAAATCGCTCAGTTCCAACTGTGCCTTATCATAGAATTCGCTAAAATCGTTGTAGATGTAGGCGATCAAGCTGAGTGCGCCGATAATAAGCACAGCACTAGCTATGGAAGCAAATCCGACAAGACTTCTGGTGAACATGCTGCTGTTTCTAACCCTGCATGCAGACCTTATATATGGAGCCACATCGCGGCGGGAACAGACCCTCTGACATTTGTCTTGACATGGAACTTAGTGTTACATCAACTATTGACGCCTAACGGCAGTGAAATTCATGTTCCGAGGGTGAGTTCATTTTCAGTTTTGCGCTCTTGGCACACTTTCGCATAGTTCGTTTTCATCGTTAAATGACAGCATGAGACATAGATTCTTATCCAGATAACAAAGCACGAGCGTTGCAAAATGATTGCAGTATGCGAAAAGCCCAGAGGAAAACGCTCGTGCAAATCGTTCTAAAACCACCTGTAAATGTGCTCTTTTCTACTTTTTTTTCTGAAAAGCCTCAGCCGTTACAAAAATTCTTACCTATTACTTAAGCTATGACGTTCCACGGCACTTTACTGCATTTTCCCTATATAGGTTGATATGTAAGAAATCCGTCTATTTAACAGTCTGGACATATAACATCGGTCTTAACCGGATTATGGTTCTTTTGTGACAGAAAACTAATAAATTTGCTGGTAGCATATCATATATGGATAGAGGTATTAAGACTTTGCATCGATGCAAGAACAGATTCATGCAGATACTCTTTCTTCGTAATCGCAGCTAGATTGAGCATTTCTCAATACCATGTTTTTATTGAATTTCTCACAATGCGAGGATATCGGACGAAAAATATTTAAGATCAGATAAACAAGTGGCATTGATTTGCCCTCAAAACTTAGAATTTGTGGAATCATTAGCTTTTTCGCGACACAGACCGCGATGTGTGCGACTGCACAGTATACTCTTCACCAAATTCGAGTTTGTTCAGAGGCTGTATGCAGCTAAAAGTGATCTTATAAGGCGCACAGCATTTTGCGGGAACTTTCAGGTATTCGGTTTCAGAGGCTGCTAGCCACATGTGAGGTGCGGCGCTATTATCCACATAATTTTAGTGCCCTTCTTCTGATTAATGAGTGATTTTCGTCACGCCCTGAAAACAAAACGAACACCTGCAGCCATCTTGAAGAAAATATCAAATTTCCAAAATGAGCAGAGTGTGCAATCGCACACATTACGATGTTCTATATGATCATTTTTCACAAAGAGGTAAGACCCATTTTGTGATCTGTTAAACGGCCTAAGATCAGAATTTTGCAATGCCCCAAATTTCTTTCTTCATCTCAAGAATTTCGAAGATCCAAAATGGGAATATATCCATGCCAAATCAGGCGACGTGACATGAAAAAAAGCAACAGAAAAGCTAAATTTGCGCCAATAATGTGCATTATGAAAAGCAGACTTCATCCCAGTGGAAAAAAAAGAAGAGGAAGAGGCACTTCGTAGAAATATTTGCGTCATATTTTGGAGAGGCTTTGTGAATTTTTCATCAATTCTTTTTTCAAGAAAAGACTGTGAATTACTTATTCATATTTCTTGGTGAAACCATTGCAATGCGTGTCCACCCCTACAGTGCGTTCAAAACTTTCACTTAGTATCTTTATTCAGGGATATTACTCAGGGATCACGTAAAACAATCATGAAAACATAGGCAACATGTAACAAAATCAGATTCATGGTGAGTACAAAATATTTTTGGGATTGTTAGAGAACTAATAAGCTCTATCGAAGATAAAATGCTCGTCTCTATACACAATACAAGGAGTTCGAGAATTCAAAACGAATGGCAGATTACAAACTAAACCACTACGATGAGCTTTTCAAACGTTTAAAGCTCGTCTTCTTCTTCAGAAGAATACTACCTACAACTGAAACTGAATGGGCGCGCTTGCAAAGAAGCGATGATTATGAGTGGATAACAAGGCTAAAACATATCAATATGTCAAGATTCGTGAGTATACGGGAGTAGAAAGGGTAGTAGGGTTAAAATATTGAGAGCTCATAGCTGATACAATACTTTAGCGCTTTCGTTTATCGAATGTGGCTGTGATTTCTTCGACAGTCTTTCCTTTGGTCTCGGGCACAAATCGCCATGTGAAGAAGATGAAGAACGATAGTAATGCAGTGAAGACGAGGAACGAGTATTGGGCAAGAGCGTTCTGGAAAAATTCCAACATTTTGGTCATATTCTTCAGAAATCAAGAAACTCACGTTAAGTGAAAGGAACGATAGTCCAACGAGCAAGTTAGCTGTCCAGTTGACCATTACAGCTACCGAGTTGGCATTGCTACGAGAATTTGAAGCAAAGATTTCAGACACAAAGAACCATGGGATAGAACCTATAACAAAACCAATTTTTACGAAAACATACACAGTTTATAAAAGCGGGAAGAATTGTTGCGACAGAAAAGGACTCATAAGTGGGCCGCAAGGAAAGCCCATCTCATTTCAACCATTGCTACTCTATTAAGATTTCCTTTGCAACTTGAAAGGTAGGTTTCTCGGAGCATTTTTTATTTTCAGTAATTTACACCCCAACAACTTTTTGCTGTACATTGTTCATGTACTGCTAAGTACACAAGCAAGAAACCTTAGAACAGACTGCGGTAATAACTGATTTCTTCATCAGAATTGCTATTTTTTGAAGCTCAAAATATTTTGCTGATTTGGAGAAAAGCACTCACCTGGTCCTGTAGCGAACGATATGACGAACAGTAATACGAACAAAATTGCACCATAGCTGGCCCATTGATGTCCAGCAGCACCTAGTGATAGTGCTATGACTAGAAGGATTGTTGATGCCCACATTCCGGTCAGTCCCATAAGCATCAACGAACGTCGTCCGAACTTTGGATGATCCACCTGAGGTAAATTTCGGATGATCTGTTTCTAGAGGTAAAAAAAAACTTTTGCACCTACCAAATAGACTGAAATGAGGGTCATAATCACGTTGACGGTACCCATACCAATTGTAGCGTAAACGGCTCCTTCAGTAGTAAGTCCAGCTTGTTTGAAGATTACGGTAGAGTAGAACATAGCAACGTTGATACCTGCATAAGGCAAGTTTCTTTTGCATCTATTAAAACTTTGAGCTAAGACTGCGTTCAGAGCTGCCTGTGCCAGCGCCATGCTGGAGGAGCGTCTATCCACAGAAACGTGGATCAATTTGGGTTCCGGCACGGCACCGGCACGGCGTCGGCACACGCACTCTAAACCTCCCCCTAAACTCAAAAAATCCTTCTCACCAGAGAATTGCTGTGCAAGCATCATCATGATGGCGATTGTCATAGGCCACAGAAGCGATCCACGGAACATGTCCAGCATTGATGGTTTCGACTCACCTGCTGCGGCACTAGCAGCAGCTTCTTCACGGAAAACTTCCATCTCAGCATTCACCTGAAACAAAAATGAATTTTTCCCACAATCACAATAGTAGATTGATATCACCCACATCTTCCGATCCTCTCAACTTCTTAAGATCCTTCGCTGCCTTATCCGGTTGACCACGCACACAAAGAGTATAGCGGGGTGATTCCGGGATAAGTGGAAGAGTGATCACTTGGATAACAGACGGCACAACAGTAAATCCAAAGATCAACGGCCATCGAGCCTCTGTGCCGAGAATGTACGGCAGGCCAAGTATCTGAAAATTTGAGATCTGCTCATAAAATTCAAAGTAATGAGTCTGAGGACCGCCATTTTAATAAAACTGAATCGAAGACCAAATGCCCACTATGATAAAAGGCCCGCACGATGATGAAAATGGTTTTTGTAATCCATTAAATGAGCATTCAACGATACATAAAAACTATCATTTTGTCCGTTGATACGTTCACAAACACCCAATTACTGAAAAGTTCATTCATACCCGAAATTGAGCGGAGAAATTTGGCTGCCACTTGTTTTTGCAGCACATTCAAGGCAAAAAAAAGAACAGCGATAGGAAGGGCAAGATCGCATGAACGAACGTTCTTTTCCGTGAAATATAATACCCATATTTTACAATCACAAGGGTATAAAAATTGCATTCATAGATTTGCATATGCAAACAATATGAAGGAGGATGCATACAAATCTACCGTAAGCCAAATTCTACAGTTAAGTTTCGAATTCTTAGAATAACCCATTTTGTTTTATTCTCGCGCACACCTTTTCTGAAAGGTGCCGAGCGAAGAAGCTTATTTATCTCTATTCTTAATTAAGAGATCTTCATTCTTCGTTTCATCATTCTGTCGAAAAAATAAAAAAAAATTGCCAAATGATAATGATTTTCCTGAGTGCACAAATCAAATCTATTTCATCTCAGCGACACATCCCCCTTTTCACTTATTTTATTTCCAAAACTAATATTTTCTAGAACTAACCTGGGAAACCAGAATAGCAACAGTGACAATGAGCTGATGCAGTGATCCGAGCATTCCTCGAAGGTTCATCGGTGAGGTCTCAGCTAGATACATTGGCACAATACAAGTAAGTCCTAGAAGCTTCTTATCAGATCTTACACCCTTAAAATCTATCGATACCCACCACAATATAATCCGATGAAAAATCTGCCTAGGATCATCATTGGGTAAACACCCAAAGGCTTTGCCAAACCCATCAAAGCAGCGGCAATGAATGCGAAGAGGTTATTGTAAAGAAGACCACCACGTCTACCGACTTTATCAGCTAACCAGCCAGACATCAATCCGCCAAACATTCCTCCTACAGCGAACATTGACACAGCTACACTCCTGCATTCATCAATAAATCAATCACCACTCATAAGATCCAAGAAAATTCAAAAACCCTACCATGCAAAATCAGCGCCTGTTTTATCCAGTTTGCTGTTAAATAAGCTTTGATGGGAATCTTGGAACCAGGAGGTAATCATCTAAAACACATCCTTAGAACCGAATCGCTTGAAACCCGGGCTAAGCTTACTTCTCCAGGGGCATTCACACATCCTATATGGTAACCGAATTGAAATGAACCGAGGGTTACGGAAAAGACGGCGAACGCCAGCGCTGCGGTCATACGACCCTAAAATTTTTTAGATTCCAAACTGATCAGGTAAATTTGACAACAAATCTTGAAATTCTTATTTTGAACAAACTTACCACATTTCCAAGAAATATTCGAAAAATTTTTATTTTTACAGAAACACTAGCATATTGCAAAAAAAATGATAATCAAAATTCACCTCGACATTTTGAACCTTTCTGAGTGGTTCGTCAGCTCCTTGCTCTATCGGCATTTCGATAGAGTAGTTTGATCTAATAGTAAAAACGACATATAGAGCGAAAAATATAAAAAAATTCGGAGACAAATTAGTTACAAAACCCTCAAATCTAGGATTTCAAAGTGAAACTGCAGTGAGATATAAGTGTTTTTAGAGGGAGAAAATCCGTTTCTCACGAGAGCACCGGAGATTTCCAGGTCGCAGAAGACAATGACAGCAAACAATTTTCGAGAGTAGCTTTTTGCATGAGTTAGTCGAGGGGCGAAGGGTGCTTATACGTTTTCACAGAACCTCAACCTCGACAAATTGTTTTGCTCGCTCTTGAGAGTGGGATAGAGAAAGATAAAAAAAGAAGGTTTGACAAAGACGCCCAGTTTTAGCGCAATTTGAAAACGCCACTTAGGACCTAGTTAGAGAGAGAAGTTTGAGGTTTTTGAAACATTAGTGTCTCGTATAAAATGCGAAAGCATTTAAAAATCGCAATATCAAAATCAACCCAAAAAAGCAAAACAAAATTTCCGTTGCATATCCATGTCAAAAGCAATTTCCAGTTCTTCAAATAGTCCTAGATTTTGATGGTATGCTTTGCTAGCAAACAAAAATCAATTTGTAAGATTACTCTACGCCTTAAAAAGAACAATCGGCTGAAATTATCGTAAATTTAGATTTCTGGAAGACAAAAGCCATGAATATTCAGTACATGCTAACTTTCAATGAAGAGACAACTGCTAAGGACAGCTGTCAACTTTAGAGATATGCGAGAGAGGAAGTGATGTCTACAGAGCAAGGTTCATAGCTTCAAAACTCCAGACTCCCAAAAAATTCCCCCTTGTCAGTCACAATGCAACTGCTAGTCACTAAACAGCCTACATAACCCAAATCTCGCTGAACCAAAGACCAAGGACGAAACTAGAGCGCGAGTGAAGTGTGCCTTACGCAAAATGAACCAATAGCTAACTATGTCTAGCAAGCATTTGCAATGAGAATCACTCAACCGGACAAGTGCTAATGAAGTCAGTAACTCATCGATGTCAGGCTGCAAGGAAAAAATATTGCGAGTGAGTTTGAGTCTTCAGTCTCGACGAGGTAGCGCTGAGCAACTGACCAGTTGTTCGCAGCGGACTCCGCCTTCTCCTCCTGTCAGGCATCCGGAAAATCTGCTCAAGTATTCATCTATCTTTTTCTATTCCCCAACCGCCTACTGCTGCATCTCAGCGACAGACACATAACGTGGAAAACCGAGAGACGACGAGGAAACAGAAAATGTCGTCTCAACGGACTTCACACGTCATCGTCGCCGAAAAAAAATTACATCCCCACGTGACTAGTCGAAAGATTAAGTGAACCACTTTCTGTTCTCGAGTGCCTTACAAATTCAAGTTTAGATGAGCAGTACAATACATAATTGCTCTGATGTCGGAAGTACATTTAGAGCAGGCGCGTGGGCAACGAAAGACAGTTGCGCAGATTGCACTAGAGACAACCTTCCAGAGGTTACCTACACCTTGGAGAAAAGTGCAACGCATAGCAAAGGCAAATGGATAGATAAGTGTTGGGGGCAATATTACTTTACTATTGTTTACGAGTTTCAACAATTTGAGATAGAGGGGGGGGGCTGCTTTGCAGAATGATTTAGCTCAGTCCAAGCCTACTAGACAGGACTAAATCCAAATCTCAGCTCTCTTTAGACTATCCAGGCCCCCAAAAAATTATACAGGACATTTTCAAACTTTTAGAGCAGCTGCTACATGTTTCGCTGTGAAGGATTTTCCTGAGATCTTCCGTTCTCATGCAGGAGTGCTGAGACAAATGACACCATTGATCATTCACAGCGACAAGAAGTGGCTACCATATGGTTTTCAAAATTCTGACTACAATATTTCAAAATAGAAATATTATTGCTAAGTAATATCTACCACTACATTTTTTTCGAACCTCACTCTATACAAGTATGATAAGAAAATAGTGCACGCTGAATTTTTTGTTGAAAGTCGTATAAAAAAATTTACCTCGATTTTGAAAGTCATGCCGGATACCGCGCAAGGAAAGTAGCAGAATGACTAGCTCACGGTATTTCGAAGAATTTTTGATGGCATAGAATACTAATAACGTTAAGACTAACATTCATTGTACTAATAACAAGAAGATCGATACCTATGTATTTCAGCTGTGCTAACGAATTAGTTATATTTAGTGCAAAATGCAGCATTTTCATCGAGCCCCGAACTCTCAACTTTATTCCCCCCCCCCTTCTTTGCAAACGACCAGCATAAGGCTACTTAGTGTCAGAGAGCAGAGCTACCGTACCACTTTGTTCAGAAATATGAGGAGAAAATGAAAAAAGTAGCGCAAAAAATGATTTTGAAACCAAATTAAAAAGGAGTTACCTCAGAATTTACAGAATCCGCAACTTCCATCATAAGAAACAGCACTTAGATGTTTGCTATACAGACGAGTTACCGCCGCCTACTCAGCCTCCATTTTCAGCAAGGAAATCAGATAAAAAGGTCAGAACTCGTCGTAAGACATCGCTAATTCGCATAAAAACAAACGAAGTCCTGGCCCTATTCATTAAAGATCACTTCTCGTAAACAACAAGACTCGCTTGACACTCGTCAATACGTTCGTCTTTTATGCTGCAACTCAAACATTAAAACTTTGGAGTAAAGCAAACTCACGTGTTGAGAAAATGCAAAAAGATTATTTATGATGCAAGCAGATCCGAAGCAACACGCAAATTTCGATGATACAGGACTAGCTCAAACCCCTTTTAACATTTCCGAACCTCGTAGACTTCGATAAATTCATTTTTGAGTCAACAGCCTAGAGTCTGTTCCCGCCAAAAGCATCAACAAATTTTTTTAATGGAAATTCCTTTGAGAATAGAAAAAGAGGAACATTAGATCGAAAAATTGTTTTAGGCGTCTAACCAGTCACAGAGAGCAAAAAAATAGAATAAAGCTGAAACAAGCTCATTTTCGTGCAAAACCAGCTTCCAAAAAACTAGTAGAAAATTTAGACTAGTAGAAAATTTAGGGGTGAGCAAAAAATCCATAGAGATTCTAAACCATACCACACAATGTTAACTACAGCTGCACAAATAGTGTCGAAGCAGTCGATAGATTGTTGATTCAATTGTGCTTACGTTGAATGGAAAAAGGTCAGGTCAAGCTGAACGTATTCACTCTCCGATAACGTTTTTATACAAAGACATGTGCCAGGATTCAAATTTTGTGCATGTGGAGCTATCTATTATTCTTATTCAATGATCACACTCTAGCTGTGCCATCAATTTGGGAATAAATGTCAGTAGGCCAATGTCCCAAACATCCAGATGGTGATGGAAGACTTGTATTAGCCTTGCTCAAATGCTTATTCAATGCATTCTTAAACTTGCAAAAATAATAGTTTCTCGATACCAATGATCTACAAAGGTTTAGGAAAAATGTCAGTACGCCATTGTCCTAAACATCATTTATCATCGCAATTACACATCCCTCCAAACTTGTATGAAGTAGTAGCCTTGATTTTAATTCATACGGTTTGTAGAGATGTATGATTGAAGAGTTTCCATTCCTCCAAACCTCCCACAAAGTATCAACTCAAAGCTGTTTACCACAATCGACAATCTGTTATTTTTGCAAAGTCACACGAGTACTTTGGATATGTAGTTCATCGAGCTTTAGGTCAAATCTTCCATCACTGCCCGGGCAACTGTTTCTCAAGTCTAAATCTAGTACACAGCATCTACTTTACCACAACCGCTCAACTCTACCCTTAGCTCCGCAACAACGTGTAAAACTTCACCTTCCACACGGAGCAGACAGTTCAAATGAAATCATTTCCGAATTGTAAAAAAGAACTCTTGCATTCTGTTCTGCTTTACGCATTTACACAAACACCTGATGAGAAGATTAGGTGACAACTGTCGCAGGCACCATTGGGACACACCACGCGACTCAATGTCGTCATCGATGAGACGCGTTCGCAGTCCGATCGCGTCAGCATATCCACTCGGCCTCAAAAACCCAACGAGTCACGAGAGGTATGAACAAGATCTCTGCGAGAAAAACGAAGTTCCCCGAAACTTGAGTGGAGCATTTACGTCTGCCATTCCGCTCTATGCCAAGGGAAATTCATTTGGTCCGTAACGTTGATTACGAAATAGTTTGAACCCATGCTATCAAAATGAGTCCCCATGCGATTTAAAAGGCTCAGGATGTAAGCTTTTGAAATAGTTCCTGTAGGTCAGGCGCCTACTCATCCACTTGATTTGCTTGATCCACTTCGCTGTTAGTGAAATCAGCAAGACTGACCAATAGCGAAGCGTATGTCCACTTGATCCGCTTGATCCAATTCGCTATCGGTCAGCTCACTGATTTGACCAATAGCGAAGTGGATCACGTGGATCAGATATGGCGCGTGCCTAGGGACGAAAAAAAGATGCTAGGCCCTATAAGTAATTTGTATTAGGCTGCCTTCTAGGAACTTTCATCTATATTTTCAGAGATCCGTCTCTTCGATTATCTTCTAGCAAAAGTGAATTATGCGCTTTCTAGTGGTGATTGAAGCAAAAATTACTGCTGGCATACAATGCCGATACAAGCTGCTAAGAGAAAAGCTCGAACATTTTTCACGAGCTGCGGCGATTAAAAAAAATGAAAGATTCAACGAGGTCAAGGTAATATAACTTCAATTCTAAGTTTATGACTCGCTCTTATACCTCTATGAACAGCTGCAATCTTGGTTCTTTTTCTTTCTTTTATTTCCAAAAAATAACCGACCTACTATTATCGTATAT